CCAAACACTATCTATGGTGTATAACCACATACGCAACGCATGTATGCAGGGGCGTCACAGCCGTAGGGCTGCCGTAGCAAAACGCTGCGGGCCCCCAGCCTAAAGGGCAAAAAATCTAAAGGGTAAATAGCATTTTAGAGCGTCTAGATTTAAAAATTGTCTCGGGGGAGCTTCACACTTCCTACCTCCGGCACTCGTGCCGTGCGCCTACGGCATGCTACATGAACCGCGCATGCGCAACAACTGCTCGGACGAATAGCGCATACGAACAGGTGTCCGATGCTCGGATGAATATCCACGTCGATATTATTATACGCCGCGGCTACTCTTACGCAGTGTCTTACGGAAGACGCTAGGGGTTAGGTACATCACGTACGACGTTTTCATTTTTCTAATACTGAGTAATAGTGTGGAAATTCCGTACGATCGAGTAGCCGCGGCTTATTGAGTGTGTGTGTGTGTGTGTGTGTGTGTGTGTGTGAGAGAGAGAGGGGGAATGGGAATGTGTATGTGTTTGTGTATGCGTGAGAGAGAGAGAGAGAGAGAGAGAGAGAGCCTCAGAGAGGTGTGCGCGCGTGTGTGTGAGAGAGCGAGAGAGCGAGAGAGGACGGATGAAAGGATAGACGGCAGCAGAGCGTCTCGTTGCGCAATCATGCATGTGCGCGAGTCGCGCGATCACTGTTTGAGTGGATGTCCGGACGCGTAGCCTGGAGGCTAGGCGACCGGTTCCGGACGCGTAGCCACTTCGTATTAGATATACGTTTTATTTCATGTGTACAGGGCCGTTATCGTTACTCTAGCTTAGTTAGACTAGTCACACTTAGCCCTACCATTGTAGATCTTCGCTCCGCCAGCACGTACAGGTCTATCTATGGCTTAGCTCTAGTATATACTATAGCCCGCGTACACTAACTGCCTGCGGCAGTATATTAATTAGTGTACGAGGGGTTTAGTACTAGAGGCTGAGCTATCTATGGCTATGCCGGAGCGTAGGGCTATATACCCCGGTAGAGTTAAGCCTGGCTAGGATACCAGACTAACGTCGATGCATGCATGGTTAATTGTTCGCTAGTCTTTCTTTATTCTGCATTGTATTATGATTTCTTGGAGCTAGCCGCGTCGTACATGACAGCTAGAGATATCGCTTTATCGCTAGACGGGTAAATCAAGCTAAATAAGCTAGTATTATTTATTACGTGCAACTCAATAAACCTTACATCCAAAATAGAGTTCATAAAAACAATTGCCCGTTAGCGATAAGTGTTTACTAGGCATGCCTCTAACAGACGTACGTTGCTATATACGGAGGGTATATATATGTATAAATACCAAATATGTGTATTATTAGCTCCTTCTCATTTCTCATTCCTTCTCCAGTCTCTAGCCTTGATTATTGATCTTATAAATCCGTCCCTATAGAGGGTTCTTCGACTTGCTCTATAAATAGCGATATTACCTATATAGAATCCCGTGCCATAATGGATACAAACACCAGCTCAGGCATGGTTGCGTGTAATGTGCCGCCCTGCACAATCAACCGATTACACATTGGCTATATTGTTACCTCCGCCAAGGGCTTGGCGGAGGTTATATGTTTTCACCGGCGTGTCTTTGAGTGTTGGTTTGTGTATTTGTGGGTTTGTGTGTTACCATGCACGTTTCAGTTCACTTCCGCTAGGTGCGCTGGCTGTAGACTTACAAACACGCAACCACAGGCTAAGGGGCAACCACAGTCCTCCCCCACCTGCACGCTCGCACTAATTGAATATCTATATATCAATCTATAGGTTTGTTTGTGTCCAGCCTAACTGAAAAAGTTAGACGGATTGTCATAAAATTTTCA